TGACATAGCAAAGGGATGAAAAATTTTACCACATCATTAGATTGAGCTTGAAAATTCTATCAAAATTCATTACTGAAATGTTGTAGATAAGGCTCCATCCTATTGTCTTTCACTATTGATGTACAGGAAATTATATTTTCTAGAAAGTGGGGCTGGCTGTGTAATTGCAGGGTCTTGAATTGTTTCTTTGCATTTTAATAAAGGGCATTGTGGGAGAGTTTATGGAGAGCTTAATAGTTGATATGTTTATTTAACAATTAGGGTTATTTCATGCTGGAATTTATATATCATAATGACCCCTCTCCATTTTTTTTTTTTTTTTACAGCATATAATGCAATAACACATGGTGAACTATGGTGGCCTACAACTGTCACATCAAATTAATGCTGGAATTTATATATCATAATGACCCCTCTCCATTTTTTTTTTTTTTTTACAGCATATAATGCAACAACACATGGTGAACTATGGTGGCCTACAACTGTCACATCAAATTAAAATCACTCACATCAAATTAAGATCACTCATATCAAAATAAAGTTACTCACATCAAATTCAAATTGCTCACATCAAATACAAATCACTCACATCAAATACAAATCACTCACATCAAATACAAATCGCTCACATCAAATACAAATTGCTCACATCAAATACAAATTGCTCACATCAAATACAAATCGTTGCATCTATTGGTCAGCGGCTAAGTCAGTGAATGCTATCCCCAATGTTTACTCGGTCTTCCACTTTACTGTCATTTTGTACGATTGTTCTTTTCCCGAAATCCCACTTTCACATGTGCAAGTCGATGTTGAGCCGAAATAAGCAACACTGGATCTCACCGATCGTCCATAATATACATGTAGAACATAAAATATGTGCAACATTTCTCTTACCTTTGCCACAGGTTCTGCAGAATTTGCAGTTTTCAACATCGCTCCCACAATTAGTGCAATACATATTTGCTAGAATTCTGATCAGTGAACTAGTGTCAAGTCAAAGAACGATTGTACAAAACGGATTGTACAAAATGGCGGTAAAGTGGAAGACCGAGTAAACATTGGGGATAGCATTCATTGACTTAGCCACTGACCAATTGATGTAACGATTTGTATCTGATGTGAGCGATTTGAATTTGATGTGAGCGATTTGAATTTGATGCGAGGGATTTGAATTTGATGTGAGGGATTTGTATTTGATGTGAGCGATTTGTATTTGATGTGAGTGATTTCAATTTAATGTAACTTTATTTTGATGTGAGTGATCTTATTTTCATGTGTGATTTTAATTTGATGCGAGTGATTTTAATTTGATGTGAGTGACTTTAATTTGATGTGACAGTTGTAGGCGACCATAGTTAACTGCCTTGCAGTGCAACATCAACTTCACTTGCCAGCAATATCTTAAGGACAGAAACTCTTACTTTACAGAGTTATAAAAGTATCAGTGTTAATTACACTGGTATTGGAGCTGTTAGGACTATAATTGGTCCAAATAATTCTTACAGGACTCCATCTGTAACTGGTTCAAGTGCAGTAATTTTTACTGATATAAGTGAAACAAAAGTGACACCTAGTTCCCCATCTCATCTGCTACAAACATCTAGATTGTCAAATATATCTTATGATACCATTGCTGTTTCTTCTGTAGCAAACCCATCGGATGATATTTCTTCAGCTGGGACATCATTATTGCCACAGATATCATCATCTATATCAAAAGTAATACCTAGTGAAAACCAGTTATCTCATACCGTCACTACATATAATTCTTCAAGAGGACTGCCTAATCAGTCAATTAGAGAATCAACAACTCTTCATCTGGAGCCAAGCTCTCATATGGTTTTGTCTAGTCCACCTGCAATAGGACCAAACAGAACATTGTCAGTTGTAGCCTCTGTGGGATTAATGACTTCAAAGTCTGTTTTGAAAATTGATGTTGCTAGTACTAATGACACTGATGAAACAGTGACAGCTACCATATATGGAACTCCTTTCATGGAATCTGTGAAATCCAGTATCCATGTAGTAAATACTACATTAACATCTGTCTCAACTCTGACATCTCCAACCATCCAAAACAGAAGTATGGTGTTTAATGCCTCACAGCAATCTGCAACTGCTACAGAACATGGCACCGTTGTCAAGGAATCAGTGAAATCCAGTGTTCATGTAGTAAATGCTACACTTGCAACAACTTTTCCAACTTCAAATGCAACAATAACTGCAACCATCCAAACCCAAAGTGTGGGTTTGAAGTCTACTCAGCAAACTGCAACTGTGTTAAGCTCAAAATTACCTGCTGTCAACCAGTCTGTTTCTAATACATTGGTTATGTCACCTTCAAGCGGTTTTAAGCCAACATTAATGCTTATGTCGTCTAGAAGTAGTATGGTACAAATTGTACCTATGCTGCCAAGTTCTGTGGTCCTTGAAGGCAACCTATCATTGTCAAGAGTGCAAGATGAAAGATCAAGCCCTGTTTTGTCCAAAAATACCACAAGCCACTCATCATTAGGTTTACTGTCTAGTACAAGTGGATCTGCATCAAGTTTAGTAGCTTCAAAAGATACCACAGTCCAATCTTCAATGATTGTTCCGTATAACACTTCAACTTTTTCCACAACACCTGTATCTCCAAAGAAGTCATCTTCAAAGGATGAGTTTGTGGTCACCTCCTATGCCACCCCTTGTTACATATATTATGTGGTGGAAAAGACTGCCTTGCCTGTGGCAACAGCTAATCACACTGCGGCTTCATCAACGCCAACAACCCCAAAAATTACACTGGAGATAGGTAGTGCATCCAAGATGCAGTCAAGACTGCCAACAGTGACATTGACACATTAGTCTGCCATGACAACCCAGGCACAGAGCCAGGCATCTGTTTCTACTGATAAAGTAATAACCACAACAAGGTTAGTGGGAATGACCACAAAAAGCACTGAGAGAACTTCAACAAAGTTGACAAGTGAAGCCTCTCCTTCAGACACGGGTGCTATACCCACTTCTACCCTTGGAAAAATTGCAAACACAGTCAGCTTGACATCACCATCTGTAGTGACTGTGGCTACGCCCAATAGTACCTTGAAGGATAAAAGCATTGCTATGTCCTCTGAGACTTTCATTGGAGCTTCATCAAACAAAACTCTTGGAACAAGTTCACGAACACCATCAGTCAGTTCCACCTTGCCGGTTGCCAGTGTGAGTATGACAAAGATGGTAGGAATCAATTTTACAAGTTCAGTAGAGTCACAGGCTGTTCTACCCACTGCAGCCTCGTCACTTCCTTCTGGAAACTCCACCTGCACTCGAACTGTCACTGCATTTTCTCAAAACATCTCTGTTGACTATTCATCATCAACTGCTCAGTCAATTGGTGTCTTTGTTTCTCCATCAAAATCCGGAGCAGAAGTGATGAGCATCTACACGAGTCAACATGCAACCCTATCTTTGTCAAAATCTGGATCGTCAAGTACATATATGGGAACATCAAGTCATAGAAAAGCTGTGTCAAGTCCATCTAGGCAAATTAATATTACTGGTTTTTCAGATGTTTTAGAGATAAGTGCGACTGGATTTACGCAATTTCCATCTTTAACGGCAAGTGGAAATCTTCTGTCTGTTGCTTCCAACAGAACGCTATTCAACAACATTACTTCAACACCCGTGTACATCGGATCTGCCATCTCAAGTAGTCAAACTGAGACTCTCTCGACGAAACACCGTGATCTGAATTCGAGTATAACTATTAGCAACTCACGTTCCATGGGAAAAAGTTTTTCGTTGGTCGAAGACAACACAACTGCCTCCACGACCGTAGAAAAGATCCTATTCTCTTCAGAAATACACAGACCGTCTAATGCTAGTTCTAGTATTGGAGCTTCACAGCCTTTTGTTGGTATAGGCAGTATTATCGGAATAAAATCAGTATTGATAATATTTCCTACTATGACACCATCTCAGTTAGGTGGAGTGACTCTTGCGACTAGTAGCAGTTCTCAAGTTCTTGCTTCAACATCGGTTTTGCTGGTAGACAGCAGATCTTCAGCTGGACAACAAGTGTTGTCATCATCGTCAGCTATATTGGAGGCTTCGGCGCCAATACTCCCTGTTGACAAACGTAGAAAAAAACGAGCAGCTGATGATTTTGGTTTTTCAACCTCAGATGGTCAATCTTCGTCCTCCCTCACATTAAATAATTCTGTAACGGCGACTGTGGCTTCCACAAGTCAACTATCTGGTCAAGCAGCTTCAATTGTACTGTCCTCGCCTAAGACCAGTCAAACGCTTCTGAAAGCCAACAGTTCGTCACAGTCAGCTGAAGGTGGGAGTACGATCCCATCCTCGGACATGTATTTACCGTCCTATACCAGTACTAGTGTTAGAGCACCACAGTCGTTTGTTGGGATTGGCAGTATTGTCGGAGTTAAATCAGTTTTGATAATATTTCCTACGACGACATCATCTCAGTTAGGTGGTGTGACTCTTGCATCTATTAGAAGCACTCAAGTTGTGCTGCCACCGTCAGTCTCACCGGGCTATAGCTCAACTCCAGTGGGTACGTCTAACTCATTACCCCCAGAAAACTCGACTTCTAATGTTTCCATCGTTGCGGCATCACCCAGCTCTAGTCATGCCTCATTGCAGCAATCCGCAAGTAATGGCAGTGTTCCGACCTCCGCGTTGGTCTCACCAAGTAGTGCAACGAACAGCTTTCATCTGTTACGGTCGGAGACTGGTAACAATACAGGCAGCCACACTGTTATGGCTCTACGAAGCCTTTCCTCAGTGTATAATGGAAATCTGCCTTCAACGTTATCCTTGGATTTGAACATGTCGTCCTCTGCTAAATTGGAGAACACTTCATACATGGAAGGTCACTCATTTACAGGTGTGCCGTCAATAATACGAAACTTGTCAGTAATAAGTATGGCTATCTCGTCAACGGTCGCTGATTTTGATAAGAATTCCCTCACTCTCTCCCTGGACTTGAAGCCATCTGCAACTGCAACGTCAATCAACAGTACTTCATCTCTCATCTCAACATTTGGTGTTGATAAAACTTTGTCTTCTAATTATATCTCGGACACAAGGACTTCATCTGCTGTGGCAGGTGTTAGTCATCCATCTTCAGTGCTTGGACATGCAACCGTAGCGGCATCAAGTTCAAAATCGTTTATGGTCGTCGTCCCTTCACCCTCACTTACCTCCTTGGAAAGAAGTTGGACGCAGCAGCCATTAAACGCTAGCCTAACATTTTCGTCGCCATCAACAGTCGGCAGTTTTTCAGTAACAATAGCTTCATCGCTGACAGATTTACCCAAGAATGCCACCGACTCATCTGTTTCGTCCAAGGTTCCATCTTCCATATCATTGCCAAGTGAAACTGTGGGGGCATTTTCAAGTTCTCTCAAGTCTCTAGTATCACCATCGGTAGCAAAAAGCAGTACTGTAATCAGCTCGTCTATGACAATGGCCACAAGTTCACGTATTTATAAACCACCTCTAGTGACTATTTCGAGTCTTGGGATGTGCTATATTGTGTATACCACAAGGATAGTGCAGCCAACTTTGGTAACAACACAATCTTTCAACGTGTCACCAACAGCTACTGTGAATGTGAGCTTTACATCTGGAGTTTTGGCAAATGCGACTACTCGTCGCATGTCAACAACTGTATCCCTTAATATCAGCACCTCTGTAGTTGTCCACCCAAGCCTCCAGGTTAATGTCACAAGCACCCAATCTTCCCAAATGGATCTTCCTACCTCAATGTTTTCAAATTTTACTGTTAAACCCAGCAGTACCTCTGCTGTTGTTTTTGGGAACTCCAGCGTGCCTTCCATAAACACAACCACGTCGCGTGCTGTCTCCACTGTTACCAAGTCAAGCTCTGTGTCTGAAACGCTCAACGTTACTCGGTCAGTATCGAAAGGAACCAGTCATGTCGTCAGCGTTGTGTCCACTACGCAGACCAGCGTTGAGAAAACAGCCATTTCCACTTCCTCATTTCACCCAAAGAGTCCGTCTGTGGTCGGTACAGAGATGCTATCCTCCTCCACCCCACCATCAACAAGTCAAGTCATTTCGCCTACATCAGCAGCTTCCAAAGTGGTGTCAAGTTCTGCGGCTGTACCCACACCTAAGCCTCCGAATCCATCTCTGTTGCTAGAAACGATCGTGAAAGTGCCTAACGACAGAGATATCCAGTCACCGGAATTCAAATCGGAGCTGGAAGAGAATCTCGCAGAGGCGTATTCCTTTAGTTTGGTGACGTCCAGAAGGAAAAGAAGGGCAACACCCGAAATCAATGTAACTGTAAGTACTGTAGTTCTCGTTACTTTTGTACTAAAGCTGGACTTATGCTTCACTCTGACGAAGAGCTGACGCTCGGAATGTCAGCTTGAGAAATTCTTTACGGTGGCCAATTTATATTTTTGCAATAGGGGTTAAAACCAAATTATAATGTTGATTTGTTTGGTTGGTTTTCTTTACAAGTATCTGGTCATCACTCCAACATTGCGGCAAAAGTAAAATCTCGTGAAATTTTTGTTTCATGCCAAAGCCTCCCGCCAGTGGATGTTCACTTGTAGCAGTTTGAAAGTGATTATCGAAATAGGGCTTTCCTGTGGGCTTGTGATATTTCAGCGCCTGGCTAAATATTTGCTATTTCATTGCGAACCAGCTACGTGTGTCGTAACAGCGTTCAAAAAGTTGGTTCCAAGAAAAATTGAGAAAGGCACTAAGGATGTCATTTGTAATTTTATTTGGCTCAGCGAGCAAGGGGAAACTTAACCTTATCAAGTGTACATGTTTGTATGGCAAGATGTACACGTAGACATTCCTGTTGAACTTAATAACAACTTTTAAGTTGTTAGAAATGATACTAACGCAACCAGATCTTGTGGAGACTCAGTATCAAACTCCCATTAGACTACACGATTGTTTAGTTTTATAATGACTACAGCTCTCTTTTTATGACTCTTTTCGCAAAAATTACTTTATACATAGTAGCGTCTGGCCGCTACCTGGGAAACATCGGCTAGAGCCCTTTGGAAGACTGAATTCGTTTGTCAGGCTTTCCTGTCTACAATTGCGTTTATTATTGCTCACCCTCGAGAATCATTTCACAATTCTATCTTCACTTTTTCCAACAGATCGACAACATAGAGCGCGTGAACAACGGAGAGGATGTTAATGTGACCTTTTTCGTCTCACAAGGCGATAGGCAGGTTCCTGCTTCCGAGGCTGCTCAAGCCTATCAGAAGTTAACAAAGGCTGAGCTAAGAAATTTTGTCAAGTTTGAAGTAAGTAAATAAACTCTCTTTTCGTCAAAGTATTTAAGTGAATTTCAGCTGAGTGTCTTGAGTGAGCTACAACGGCCAGTCAGAACAAAAGGAGAATATCGGGAACAGTTACTGAGCACTAAAAGTTAACACAAGGTAACTGCCTGGAGCACTGAAGTTGGCCAAGTCGCGATTAGCTAGGTTCGCATCTGATCTGTCACGTTGCATTTTTTGCCTAAGCGTTACACTGAAAAGTGCATGCTTTACTCCATATAGAGGTATAACTGAGTCGTGGCAAATTGCGACGCGGCCGGAAGACTTCGACGTCTTGTTTGCAGGGAAAGAGGTGAACTTTATGACGCGGAAACAAATAGCTATTAGTATATATTTACCAGTCTTCGCCGACTTAAGGCGCAGATACAGAGCTTGCCTTAAAAGTTATGTGAATGCGCTCTTTAATTTGGGCTATGCTACTATTGAATTGGCAATGCCACTCGAATCTGTTGAGAGAAAGAGGGAGAAGAGTAGTAAGGAGAACTTTAGATTGAATTTTGTATTTGGAGTAACTAACAGAAGTTTTCCTTAGAAATCCTGCTAAATACTAATCTTCCTCCATTATGTTCTTATGTAGGTTGTTAACATGCCTGAAGTATTGGTAGTACCACCAACCACAGCACCTCCATCGCATATCCTTGTGTCTTTAATCATTGCATCGTCTGCTAGTGAGAACATCTCCGCTCCGGCGAACAAAAAGAAGCTGGAAGACAACCTGGCTGCCTATTACAGAAAGCAGAAGCAGTTTACAACCCTTGTTACCGCTACAGTAAGTCAATTCAGTCTCTGGTATTTAAGAAGTAAGGATTTAAATAATCATCATTACGTGATTTTCGAGATGTATATTTGTGTTAAGTTAATGGTCATTTCTGTTTTCAGATCACGACTATCATCCACGAACCAAATAACATTGTGTACTTGGAATTTTACATCTCTGTTGATGGCACTCCTGTCAATGCAACTGACGTGGTCGAAACCTTTAAAGTTCCTCATGTAAACTTGCTCAACACAGATCTTGAAGTTGAGGTATCTAACTATCATGTACAAACTGTAGCCTTAGGGTCGAATTTTTTACTTCCTCTTTAATTAGATAGACTTCGGAAAATGAGAAGCATTTCTGCTTTTTATAGATTAAAATAAAAACTGTAGAATTTTGCACTTCTCTATTCTTCGTTTCGAGTCTACTTCTTGTAATCTCGAGAATAGGGACAGCTTATAGTGTGTGACTAGATTTCAAATAAATCGTTGCTTTATTCACAGGTCTTGGTCCAGGTTTACATTCCTGACTCACTCACCGCTACTGAAGCGGATTACGTCATCATAGGGGTTAGTGTTGCAGAAAGTGTGGATTTAGCCAACGCCTCGTTCAGAAGTGACTTAGCGAGCAAACTTGCTACGGTGTATCAGAACGGCAAGGGCAAGATCAATTCACGCAGAAAGAGGCGCAGCGGAAGCACAAGTGCAACTGTAAGTTTTAAAAACTAACCATTGGAATCGATTGATTTAAGAGCTGCGCCGAGACCTGGACTTTAGCCTGATGTGCTAACCCGTTGTACTCCGTATCGAGAGGTCTGGGGTCAAGCCATGGCCCGCTCATAATGTTGTATCATGAAGCAGGACAATCTTCTCCCACAGAGTCTCTCTCTGAAGTGGACTGTAAAATGCTATCATTGAACTGTCAGGGAATCTGAAGAAATGTTAAGGTGGTGGTGGTGATGGTAGGGGAGGGGGGTAGTAACTACCTACGTTGGACCAGCTTCCCATTCGGGAATATAGCAACACCCCTTGTCGCTTCAAGGTTGTGAATTGGAGATCGCTCAAGCCTTGTGAGTTATTTGCATCTCCTCTGAGACTTATTTGGGCCTTTTTCGTCTCGAACAGAAGAGGTATGACATAAGCTTTCGTGAACCTGTCCGGTAGATATGATAGGGTAGATATAAGATTGTGGTTTACTTCACGGCAAAAGTCTTCTTAAACTAGATTTGTTACAAGTTCGTCTCTTCTATAATAATTAATAATTAAATCATCCAGTTGTAGAGGGTGAGTGGGTGAGTGTTAAGTAGCAGGCTAACAAACTTTCTGAATTCTTCAAACAGATTAAAGACACTGTGAGAAAAACTGATTCTCAGGCCTCTGAGGTAGATGTTACATTTTTCGTGTTTGACTCTGGCAAAGTTGTTAGCTCCAGTTATGTGGTATCTGTCATGAATCGACTGAGCACCAGCCAGATGACTTCACTAACCAGACCATATGCGGTAAGTTTTAATTTCATAACAGAGACCTGCTGAATGTGCACTTATCTTCGCGGTTGTTTCCTGGTTTATATCGCTATGCAGAAGTGAAATATTTCCCGGCTGACAGCACACGTCCCCTTTGTTAAACGCGTGTCGTAGCTAAGAAACAAACAAATAGGACCGTGAAAGAGCCCAATTTGAAAATGTGACAATTCGGCGCCTTATTTGGAAATTTTCCGTAAGCCTTTGTTGTCGTGTACTTGAATATGAACTTGTTTTTGGCGTCGAAAATTTGACCCTTTGCTGAATTATTACATGAAAATTCCATTCTTTTACCAATTTAGATTATAACTGCTCCCAGACAAGCAGTAGTGCTGACCACTGAAATACCACCCACTGTGGCTTCAACACAACACACATGGTTGATTTTTGTAGCGGTCTTCTGTCCAATTGTATTGATTATCATCTTGTTGTTAATTTGCTGGCGATTGAAAAAAGGTGCTCCGACATCCAAGGTCGATCCACATAGGATTGAAATGTTGGACAGAGACAAGAGAATGGTGAGAGTTTTTCAAGTGACAGTTTGTAGTCTAATGTACCTCCCGGTTAGCTCAATGGATAGAACGCTGGACTGATGTGCAGGAGGTCGAGGGTTCGAACCCCGGCCGGACCAACACTCAAGGTCTTAAAATAATTGGGAAGAATATGCTGCCTTTCTACAACATCAAGAAATGGTTTAGATATTCTAGTCTTCTCGGATAGGGACNCCCTGGGGTGGGATGGGTGGATTGTTGTCTTGCGTTTCATACATGAGCGTCTGGCTCGGGCAATATGGGTAACCATGCCCCACGTAAAGACATTAAACTTTGATTACTATTGATTACCTGTAGAGGAGGTCGTCTAGCCTTCGTTTCAAGACCCCTTTGGCTTGAGTCATTTCTTTTCTGGAAGGACTCCTCGTACTTAAATTCTGTTTTCAGAGATGGTAAACACTAGACGGTTTAGCAAAAAGAACATATGCACACTTGTTGAGTTTATGCTCAATCCCTCTTTCAATATTTCTACACCCTAAAATGTAATGTTCTTCGGTAAGATAGAAAAATATGAAAAGCTAGGATGGACCGAGGAGGATAAAATTGTAAGGTTGGAAGAGATTCAAACGGGTTGAGAATGACGAATTCGAAGACTTAACAAGACGCCAAAACTCGGCCATAGCTCCTTGAAGTCTTTAGAGGCTCCGAAACCACAGAATTGTAGCGCACAAACAATTTCTCACAAAATGATTCTTGGAATGCTGTACCAATTCTCATTCGGTTATTTCTGTCCTCAACCCTAAGCCTGTGCATGGTTATGACGTAGTTCGTCACAACGAGCCAGGAGTATCAGCAGGTATGAAGACAACGCCCTTTACGACGCGCTCCCCATCCTCTGCTGCTGATGACGAGGAAGCTGAGGCAAAACCTAGAAGACGAGAGACTTCTTTACGGAGAAAGGTTCCCAAGCGACCAATACAGAAACTACCGGTCAGGGAACAAAGGCAGTAAGTGGCGACTGAGAGATTCTGTGTTCATGTTCTTGTTCTTTGGACCAGTCCCATATATACTCAGTCACTCAGTAAGACTCAATCGCGGTACACAAGTATCTTGTTGTCTCTTCTGTTGTTCTACCCTTCATGAAAGGTGTAGAACTTCTCTAGGGTGGTTGGGTAATTTTTCTCTTCTCTGTTGACAGTTGTTGATACTGACGAGCCACAAAGATAGCATTCTTAACTCCGATCAGTAAGAGTTATTATTATAAGTTTTTGCCATAACGGAAGCGACAGCTGTTTGTGAAGCATGCATTATGAGTATAATCTTATATCAACAGCTATGGTTTCTTTCCTCTCACACTAGGACAAACCCCACCTTTGAGGAAGAGGAAGAAGAAGAAGAAGAAGAAAGTGAAGATAGCCCAGTATCCGTCGCTGGAAGTACTGAGGCGTTAACAAAAGGTAGAACCTCAGCAAAACCACCACCGGTCTCCAGACAGTACCCTCCGGCCCAACCTCAGAGGCCTATTGAACGATCTGAACTGGACAGTGAAGAAGATAGTCAACTCTCGGAAGAAGAGTCCGAGTCTGAACCCGAAAGTGTAGCACCGCCCGAGAAGGTAATGATGATCAATCGATTTTTGATGAAACCAGCCTTCAGAAAGACCTCTTTCGAAGTTTGATAATGAATTTTTCAAGGAAATTCTTTAAAAACATTTTTCTCAATTGATTAATTTTTTGGTCTCTATTTTCAGCCAAGCCATTCACCTGGCCAAATACCAACTGTTGCCGTGATGAGTGAAGCCAGCGGTCCCCCGCGTTACCCCCCTGTGCGGTTCCGTTCCTCGGTACATCCCGCCCCAAACCTGCCCCCGTTAGATCCGAAGCGAACATCTTTGGTTGGAGTTAAAGTAGAGGTAAATTGAATTTCTCTAGCATGTGAGCGAAGAAGTGAATTTTTTTCCCTCGATAACTTATTAAAACCGAGGGGGTTTTGAGGCTGACGTTATTTCCCATTTCAATGAGCCGGGTTACATATTTTTTGTATCTTGAAAATTTAGCCCAAGATGTTTAAGTTGTTTATGTGCAATTTTAGTCTATCTCTATCCTAAGGCATAATCCTTCCCTATGGATCCCCTTAAGTGATCGTCAGTGTGGAGAATAATAAAAATGTCGTAGTTTATTTAATCTCTCCGCTGACTAGCTGCTATAGTAAGTTAGGCTGTGCTGCTCAAGCCAATGTGTAATTTTGTATCTTAGCCGCCATCCGAAGATGACTCTACAAGAGGCCGCAGAAAAGGGAAAGCGAAGAGACGAGAGTTAGAACAGAGGGCGGCCTTGGAACGGCAAAAGAACAAGCAAAGACTGCGAGAAAGGAAGCGTAATGATTCTCGACGCTCAAGTGCAGTTGTTAGTGAGAGGAGAGCGTGGGACAGAGCTCAGCATGACATCGACGATGCTCTCGGAGACGATGATGCGGAGAGAGTTATCACGTGAGTATTTGTGTACTGAATATCGGTTTACTGTAGACCATATGTGTGTGGATTTTCGTCGCTATATATCTCTTTTGAATATTGTTACCTGCAGCAACGTTCAACTATGAATGACGTTTTGAGGAGACCATCGGAGAAATGACGAGTTCATTTTGTGAAATTGTTTATCAAGGCTCGTTTGTCTGACTAAGAATTTTGCCTTTTTTTCCCACGCTACACGATCGGATTCTAGAACGTTTTCTGTTGTGGGAACCCATCACTAGTATTCTGTTCTATTCTCGGTGTTGTAGATACCGTTGTGTTGGTTATTTGATTCTTTAAACAAAGGTTTTTCCATTTGCAGTGGAAAGAAGCGAAGACCTCGGAGGAAACGTCCCCCAAGCAGTTCAGTAGCTACGGATGAAGAAGGAGTGCCGCATCTGAAGAGCTACCGCAAACTTAAAAGTCCGAAAACAGTATCCTCCACGAGCACACAGGTATAAGTTTTAGTTCTCGTCTTGAGAACTAAATTCATAGCCGGCGCCCTACAGAATCCAGATATTTCTATGTCAGAATTAAGATTGATTCACTCTGTGAAAGCCAACGGCATGTCAAATAGCCAGTGACCTCGTTGTCATCATTATTATTATTATTTGTAGCTTTCCCCGGCTGCCCCAAAGGTGTCACATTATTGCATCTTTCAAAGGTCAGTGATTTCTCGAAGCAGCTGTTTTGCCAACTATTCGCTCAACCATCAACTAGAGCGACAAAGATTTCTCCGGAAAGTCGTGAAGGATTTCGAACGAAGTTAACAAACTTGAATTTGAAACCTGTTTTGAATCATATTCAGTGGAGTATATCTGTCCCTGTTATTCGCCAGATTAACCAAATGATACTTCACTGCTAGAACTGAATGGCAAGATATAAGCCTTTACAGCTCTTACGAATTTCATTGTATTTAATCATTCTAGGACCGAGACAAGAAACGTGGGAAACCGGCGGACTCGGCCTCGAATCCATCAAGCGAAGAGGAATCCGAAATTGACATGAATGAAACACGTCGACGCATGCACGCCATGCTTGATGACGCGTTCTCCTTATTTGGACCACAGCTTGCAAAGAAACCTGATAAAGTACCCGAGGGACATCCATCACATCCTGCCCCCCAGCCCCCACAGGTATATACCTCGACCCCAGCTCGTCCAGCTGTTATTCCAAGGTGAGTGGTTTGAATGTAAAGTCAGCTGTCTCGTTTTATTAATTTTTTACTTATTCTCATTTTGTCCGAGACCTTTTCTGGCTTCTGCCGTTGCACAAACACTGTAGAGTGTTATTTCTTAATGGAGCAGCCACACGGTCTGCTCAATGTGAAAAAGCGAGTGCAGACTTTTAAAGTTTGGCATTCCATGTCCAATCCGTTCTTGTCTTTCCGACTCTTATTACATCTGGCATTTTGGAACCTTGTTAGGATAGAGGAGAGTTTTTGTACACATCTCAGAACAGGAATCCAAATGAGTTAACATAGCTCCCTCAAAATCGGCCAAAGATCTTGGATTACTTGTCAGATTTAGCTTGTTAACGATATTGCATACATTAACCCTTCGTGTATAGATATATCGGAGGGCAGCCTGCTTTGCCAGAACCACCCCCAGCTCACGGCCGAGCCACTGAACCGACACCTGGACAGCGAAAGCGCGTTCAGCCGACAATGCCTGGTTACCCAGTTGGTATGCCCCAGACCCCTCTTGGTATGCCCCAGACCCCTCTTGGTATGCCTCAGACCCCTCTTGGTATGCCAGGCTACCCAGGCCGCCCTCCTGTACGACCGGTTGTGACACGTGATCCGATAGTAGTCTGGGATCCTGCAGACAGACAACGGTAAAGTCTTTTCATTATATGAATTATCGTGCTTTCTTGATTTTTTTTGTTTAAAGTGGTTGTGATGACAATAAAGTCATAGTAATTCTGAGTGCATGGTGATCTGTCTACTCTGCAGAATTTTGAACCAGAGGGCGCCGCCTCCGACTTATGCGTACAGAGATCCTAGTGGACAAAACGTCTATATAACACCGGTGCAACAACAACGCAGTGATTTGGTAAGGAACAAACTAGACAATAAATTTGCTTCACTTGGGACTGTTTAAACATAGACAAGAAAAGAATAGATTCTATAGACATTAAAATAGGGGTAACCTGCGTGAACAGTCTTGAGAATATGTTTTGGTTAATGTTTGAAAAGTAGCTTGGCCTGTCCTCTCTGCTTTGACTCAAAAACCTCTGCAGTAAAGGTAAATCCTCTCAATGTGAAAGTTTCGGGACAGATACTATATTAAGATGTTGTGTATAACAAGACAGGTTCGGGGAATCCTTTCGAAGACCATTGTTATCTTTGGCTGAGACATCTAAAGTATTAAAGTTTCCCTTGAGTCTGGTGTTAGTTGACAAGTTGACAAGAAAATTAGAAACTGAGGACTAACTCTGAAAAATAGGTTGACCACAGGGCTTGTAACTGAACTAATACTGTGCAGCAATGCAATTTATATTATCCTGCCGCAGCACTCTTTGTGTTCAATTTGTGAATGACGTTTTCTACTTTTCCATCAGGGTGGTCTTGTATGGAGTCCTTATGCCGCTGAGGACTCAATGGATGCACTTTATCCTGATTTGGCTCAAGTAAGTTACTGTTTAAGAGAATTACTGCCAGAATATAAGCAACCACGAAACTACTTGTTATCAGTTGATTGTTGCTGCGTTAGGGGAGGGGTAGGGGCGCAGTTGCTCAGGTACTAGCATCGATAGGTTGATCAGTAGAATTTTTAATTGAAAGATTTAGTGTGATCATTTCGTGACCTTTTTTTAATCAGTTATTCTTCTCTTTTCCTTTAATGCTTTAGGCAAGTTATCCAGGTGCGCTAGGTTCTAGTCCTCCTAAAGACACAAGTTTCCTATCTCATCTTCAGGCCATGCCACCTCACGACACAGTACTGAATATGTCAGCCCACGGTACTTTTGACAAGCAGGGATCTACACTTGGACAATCTCCACAACCCTTGATTAAATCAATAAAAGACGAACTTTTTAGATTGTCCCAAGGAGCCTCTAGGAAAACACCCATTACAGAGCTATAGCATTGATAAACAAATTTTTATATCAGGTATTTTAATGATCACTGAATATTTTACATTTGAGGAATAGCAGCGAGGATATTTGTCAAGCGGTTTTTAAAAAAGAAGGTACATTTTTGGCAGTTTGTGTCAATTACGTGATAAATCCGTAATACGAGTTTACTCACTCATACTCATTTACGTTTTCTTAATTACTTTTACAAAGGTAAACATTTGTAGATATATTTAATGTTGAAATGTCATTTAAAATTGTTACTTTTAAAGAAAATGGTGTAAATAGCTTCTTTGTATGGGATTTGCTTCCCTTTTTAGTCAATAGCCAATTCTTGACTAGAATTAAACTATAATTGTGCCGTGAGGCTACAATGGGAAGTAAATTTTCTTTGTTACGACCAAACTATGAAAGGGTTGAAAGGATTTACTTGTGAGAGCTATTTTCAGTTGAGTGTGGAGAGTGATCTTTGATCGAACTGATCATGCCTTGATACTGTCTGTGATTGGTCTAGAAAACTCGTGCCATTCTTTCGACCGTTTAGATGCAAAACTAAAACCAATCAGCACTTCGCCACTTGTGTATTCCCGCACTTGAGGAAGTTTGCTTGTGTTTGGAGGGAGTTTTCTTGTTTTTGCTATGAGTTTTCATGGGCCTTTTGTGATGTTTTCCGGTTTTATGATTGGCCAGTGTGATTACTTTGGTTTTTACGACACAATTGGAATATGCTCTATCCTCCAATGAGCGATGTCGTCTGGATCCCTAAACTGTTCTACATTGCACGTGGCAAAAGAAAGTTCTCTATCGCCCTTTCATCTCGAGACCAAATTTTCAAAGCTCTATCTTAAAGAAAATATAACACCAGCCCAAAAGAAGACTAGTGACATAAGTCGAAATATTGGCCAATTAGAAGTTCCCCTTAGCCGTTGTGACAGCCTTGTAATGGTCAAACTAATGAAATCTACGTGATGAAATCTGTCCCAGAGGTCTGTAGAAGATTGATCATAGTTAAAATGCAGACTCCTAATTCACCTGCCGGCGTTAAATCCAGCAATGACGTACGATAAACCAAAAGCCTTCCTATTTGAGAGGCTCAAATTAAAACAAATGATCGCGACCGTGGAACTGGTACTGGCGCGCTTTATGCAGTTTGCCTGTTTCAAACGATGAGTTCTCATCGGCTCCACGTGATATTTCCCCTTCCTCTGATTTTCTGTTGCAGTGTGATGACTTTCGTTTTACAAAACTGAATGGAAATGCGCTCTATTCCATTTTAGCTAGGTGGCAATTCTGTACAAAATGTAATATATTTGAAAGTCTGCGTAGTTTCCACTTGAAATGAGACAGTATTTCAAGAAACAATTAACCTGCGTATCTTATTTAGTAAACTAAAGGTGACAATTCAACAAATAAATAAGTTTAATTTCAATGTAATCCTCCACTATAGTAGTCTGGGATCCTGCAGACAGACAACGGTAAAGTCTTTTCATTATATGAATTATCGTGCTTTCTTGATTTTTTTTGTTTAAAGTGGTTGTGATGACAATAAAGTCATAGTAATTCTGAGTGCATGGTGATCTGTCTACTCTGCAGAATTTTGAACCAGAGGGCGCCGCCTCCGACTTATGCGTACAGAGATCCTAGTGGACAAAACGTCTATATAACACCGGTGCAACAACAACGCAGTGATTTGGTAAGGAACAAACTAGACAATAAATTTGCTTCACTTGGGACTGTTTAAACATAGACAAGAAAAGAATAGATTCTATAGACATTAAAATAGGGGTAACCTGCGTGAACAGTCTTGAGAATATGTTTTGGTTAATGTTTGAAAAGTAGCTTGGCCTGTCCTCTCTGCTTTGACTCAAAAACCTCTGCAGTAAAGGTAAATCCTCTCAATGTGAAAGTTTCGGGACAGATACTATATTAAGATGTTGTGTATAACAAGACAGGTTCGGGGAATCCTTTCGAAGACCATTGTTATCTTTGGCTGAGACATCTAAAGTATTAAAGTTTCCCTTGAGTCTGGTGTTAGTTGACAAGTTGACAAGAAAATTAGAAACTGAGGACTAACTCTGAAAAATAGGATGACCACAGGGCTTGTAACTGAACTAATACTGTGCAGCAATGCAATTTATATTATCCTGCCGCAGCACTCTTTGTGTTCAATTTGTGAATGACGTTTTCTACTTTTCCATCAGGGTNAGCCCTCTGTCCCCTTGTAGAGCGTCTATGTGATAGTAGCAAGGCATTATATTATTGGGTTATGATGTTAGCCGTGGGTTTTAATAGGTTACCAAACGAGGAGTTCTTATGGGCAATGGATGGAAATATAGATGGCGAGTTACCATGGACTGTTTTCTTAATAACAGGAAGGCTCTCGTATCACCAAAACAAACAACACTCCAAAATAAATGCAAGGAGTAACATGCTTTACTGTCTCCAAGTAAATGTTTATAAACATTTTATGTTATTTTCCATCTGAAAGCAAAAGCCTAAGTACAGAAAATGAAAAAACTTATGAGGTGCTTGGCTATTTAAGCGTTCATTGGTTAAACACCGTGCAAGTGATATCCCGAAGGTCTAATCATGATTTGCATTCATATCAAATTCAAAAGAGATATTCACACTCATCTAACTACATCCACTCCCCATTGTCTAATATAAGCAATAAAAAATTGCGCAACACGAACATACAAAACCCTTATAGTTCAAAAAAGTACTTAAAGCTCGATGAGGAAAATGAAAAATGTGCTTTAACATTTTAGAAGCAGCTTGTGAAGCTGATGTCTCTCGGCAAGTTGTTGCTTAAAGTGACTTCATGACTTTATTGCTTCCCAAAGTATAGAGCTAAAAGGTAGGCGGCCAGCAAAGCGATGACCTTAGGTTCAAAGAACTCAATTCCAGAGGTGGGAGTTGTCTCAGTGTCACCTGTAGTTGTTGCAGTCGTGGATGGTGCGTCCGTGGGGAATGTTGGCATATTGCAATTGTCGGTATTACAGCACTCTGTTGTACAGCTCTTTATGGCGGCGCCGCCTTCCGCTAGAACTGTAGCACATGTGCTCATGTTGTATGTAGAACAGTTCACCATAGGAGCCTGAAGAAAGAAAAGACATGAAGAGTCTGAACACAAGGTGTAGTGAGTAAGTATTCCTTTGATTTACTAAGCACTGTCTTTTATTATTTCAATTGTGTCATTTTTAGCGTTGACGCCTTTCCTAATCTATATTTTTGTTTCTTAGTGTAAATAATATTCCAAATAAGATGTACTTAAGACGTACTTTAAGCATTTACATACAGATCAATCTCCCGTTTTCATGGAAAAGCCTTCCCGTGAAAGTGTATTTCATAAAGTTATTCAGTTATGTAGGTAGGAGAGCCTTTAAATTAAAAAAGCAACGATATTCATGGGTAGAATCTAACCAGTGGAAATAGGTTAATAAATGGAAGAAGCTGAAAGCAAACAAATACCACAACAGTTAACACAAGTTCTTGTACTTACAACACATCCCGCGGAATAAACCATTACGTCATTCACCATGAGCATAACCTGGCCGCAATGTGTTGCTTGATCAGTGCAGTTTACGGGCATGTAAGCACTTTCATTCATGCATGTTTTATGTGGAGTGTCATAGGGCGCCATGTTTGTGCAGTTGTAACACATTAACCCAAATGCTAAGAAGAGGATAAAAATATCAGTTATGATTTCAGTTAAGGACTTGCCATTAATTGCAAAATTGATTTGGATCGATTTTGAGAACTTTTAAAAACGTTTTTCTCTTCAAATCAAGTTAAGTTATTTCTTCAAGATTGTCTCGTGCACAAAAGAAGAACAATGGATTATCGGCATTTTTACAGTCTCACAGGAACTCTTTAATTCCCATGAATGATAGGATCGGACCTTTCATCTCTCCCTCAATTTTAAAATATTATCTTGGAAAACAGGTGTTCTGCATGATCGGGATATAATTTGAAGAGTAGCGCTAATTTCTAGAGTTATTTCACAGGTTGTATATAAGAGAGACAAACAGGAAACAACAAACAATAGAATAAGGCAGTCATTAAAAACAACTTTCAAAATTTCTATGAGAGAATCCACGCCAATATCACGACATTTAGTTACTCGTCGGAAACAATTTTTCTTAAAAATGGACCAAAGAAAACCTTGGTCTAAGTTGTTCCACAACTCTCAACTGAAGGACAAGAAACACCTGCTGGCTTAAAACAGTTGAGTCGAGTTTTCAGGCTTGTTTGGACTTGCATTCGCTGAAAATTTCGCGCGAGTAGAACCAACCGGGCTTGTCCACAGAATTGTGGGAATAATTGTTTTCGCTGAGGTGCTTTGAACTGATCATCGAAAGGTAGCGAAAAAATGACCGATGCTACCAGTCGAGACATTTCTTCAAGACACACACTGAAAAGTATTGGCGAAATTTTGAACACAGAGAAAAATAAATAAAACCTGAGAGGAACTGATATCTTACAGCTGCCGAAGACGAACACGTCGACTCACGGCGAGGTACATTGAACCGAAATTATGGAACTCAATACCGAACAGAACTAGACTAGTGCCATCTTTAAAGGAATAAGAAAATTAAACCTGTCAGGTCTATCTGAATCACATTTTCTCTAAAGTTCCATGAAAGGATTTCTATTTTGTCTTTCTTCATATTTAATGTAATGGATTTTGAAACTTTGTATAGAAGTTTTATTACTCGTCCGAAACAATTCTAGTCATCATAAAACACTTGTTTATTCGTTATATTTTACCCTATTTGAATTGAATTCATCTTCTATGTAACACCTGAAAACTCGCATGTGACTGTTTCTCACTAAAGGTAAAAGTATTTTATGAAATTAACCCGTTTATGCTGTTATGTTATCTTAAAACGCGTGAGACTCGTGGAATAATTTCCCTAAAGAGAGTGCCCCCATTTAAACAAGCGATAAACAACGCGTGGTCAGTGCCAAATGCTCAGGTTTGTAGAGAGCAGAAAATGAATCCGCACACAAGGTGTATAATGGTAATTAACCATCGAGAGCGGGAGATAACCGATTCCCATCGGTTTATTTACAAGAATATTTATCAAACGACACACTTCTAGCCATGAATTTAGTGAGCCCTCTATGCAATGATTGCACCTCCAGGCCAAATTTCAAAGTCATCAAGACGAAATGTTTTAAGTAAAATAATAGAATGAAATGATGCCTTCTTTGCCTTGGAGCGGGGTATTTCATAAAACCAAAGTGCAACTTTTCAAATCATGGTAATTGAGGATACGTTCTATGTGTGACGCATGAAAGTGAAACTTTGTTTTTTGGGCTACAAAAGACTGACAGAAACTCGATTGAGAGAACTAAAAAGGATGAAAAAACAATACAATATGAAGGTAATTAAGTCACAAAGACACGAAGAAGAAAATTACGCTCCACTTTCTCAATTTTGCGCTCAAGAGACCGCTCAATCAGCTGTTTCATCAAATTTTGATTTTTTCAAAGAGGAAAGTGAAAATTAACCAGAATGTAACAAATTTAGATCACTTACCACCAGGTAATGCGCAAATGGCGAGGGTAGCAACGACAAATATGATCTTATTCATCCTGGTTGAAAGCTTGAGCGACTGGTTCAAACCGACTCGAGGCAGCGCCTTGAATTTGTAGGGACTGAATTTGCTTCTCAGGAGTGCCGACTGTATGCTAATATACTTGAACTATATTGACGAATCAACAACGCCTATTACTATAAATAAGGCACTCGACCGCAGCAGGTTTTGGATTGACAGCGAATATCATTGAAGCTCTCCTCATAATTGACAGAAGCTGAAACCATCACTGCATAACCCATAGCTAAATGAATAAAAATATACCCGTGCGCTTGATTTAATATTTAGTGTGTCGTTTTTTTTCAAACATTTAATCCCTTTCGTAATGGCAGTCAGGAAAGCTATATTTTCGTAATGGCAGTCCCTAAAGCTATATTTTGCATAAAAGCGCTCGCTAGGGACACTTCGGATTTAATCCGTTACTTTGGACACGTATTAATCGTTTGTTAATTACACCTCGGTGACGATATGGCTGTGATCATTGTAAACGACTCAGAACAGGTCGGTGCCTGTTGAATTTGTGACGTTACCGCCGCTTCTTCACTGCAGAACTCCCATGCAAAGAGGGCATGGATATTTCATGGCAAAAAACAAATTCAATTACAATTGAACCCCGTTAGTGAAATTACCAAGGAAACGTAAAAACGTGCAAAACAACGGAGAATTCATGTTGGTGGATGGCAATATCTCATTTTAGGGAAGATCTTTTACATTCGGATTAAGAGAAAGTTCACGTGAAGCTGCAAAATTTACTGTATGTATGAAACAGATGAATTTTTCAATTTTGGGTTACAACGCAGCCGGCTCTATCGAATGCAAACAAAGACAGTTTTTGCATATCAGTGTAAAGAACTTTGAACCCCTTTTGTGAAGGTGACCGTTGGTAAATTAAAAGTGCAAAATATCAGCAAGTAAAAGTTAAGGGGGTGCCTGCTAAACATGAGTCCAATAACACATCGAGCATTCTAACGCCTGTAGTCACGGAAGCCAAAATCTGTAATTTTAATCATATAGCCTGGGCTGAAATGTTGTAAATACAAAAATGGGAACCACTATATACTGAAAATACCAATACTAAACTGAATTTCTTTGTGCTTTCACTCTCGCATTCGTTACAAACGTTAGTTCAAGTTATTCAAAGAGAGATTGATAGTCAGTTTAGTTTATTATCGTCTGTAGTCACGGGAGCCGAAATCTGTAATTTCGATAATATAGGCTAAAATGTTGATAATACAAAGAATGGGAACTACTTTAAACTGGAAATAGCAATACTAAAATTTATTTGTGCTTTCACTTTCGCATTCGTAACAAATGTTTGGTCAAGTTGTCCAAAGAGAGATTAATAGTCAGTTTATTTGCAAACGCCAAAGGGCAAAATATTGTCGTGACTTCACTTACTCTTTCTAATCTTTGCTTTAATTAAGAATTCCAAC